AAATGAATTAATTGAGTCAATTGAATTAATTGAATTAATCGAAATAATTCAACTAATTCAATTAATTCAATTAATTCATTTATTTCCAAAGGGGAGGTGGAATTAATTGAATTAATTGAATTAATTCCAATTAATTCAATTAATTCATTAATTCAATTAATTCAATTAATTCAATTAATTCAATTAATTCATTTATTTCCAAAGGGGGGGTTCAATTAATTCAATTAATTCAATTAATTCAACTAATTCAATTAATTCCACCCCCCCCTTTGGAAATAAATGAATTAATTGAATTAATTGATTAAATTCATTAAATTCCAGGGGGAAAGTGGAAATTAAGGAATTTAATGAATTAAATTCTGTCTGTGCAACCCTACAGGACCTAAAATAGGGTCTATTTGGAACATGGCTCTTGTGAATAAGTATACGTTTTGGGGCCTGTTTTCCTCTTGTAAATACGATTCCCAGCTTCCAAATAGACCCTATTTAAGCTGCACACCCCCCCCCCCCCCAAAAAAAAAAAGGTGAATAAGGGCCTACTCTGGGTTCTAGTTCGGTTTTTGGGGGGGGGGGGCGGGGAATTCAAGGGCTTAGGCTTAGACTTTGAGAGCGTGTGCTTCGCTGCGCTCCCTGCCTGACCTAGGTTTGAGGGTTACAGGGTTCGCGCTAGGGGTTTAGGGCTGAGGGTTTCGGGTTAACCCCGAAACCCCCAAAACCCAAAAAACAACAAAAAAACAAACCCTCAAACCCCCTTATTTAAACCCCTGAACCCCCAAAACCCCCCTGAAACCCTAACCCCAAACCCTAAACCCTGAACCCCAAACCCTAAGATCCAGCGTCCTCCCGTCTCCGCGGACTTCGCCGATCCCGGCTACGGCGGTCGCGACTTCGACTGTAGCTCCGCCCTTGGGGGTTTAGGGCGTTTAGGGCGTTTAGGGCGTTTAGGGTGTTAGGGTGTTAGGATGTTAGGATGTTTAGGGTGTAGGGTTTAGGGCATTAGGTTTAGGGTTTAGGGACCCTGAACCCTAAACCCTAAACCCTAGGCTCTAAACCCTAAACCCCCTCTACCGTAAACCGATCTTGGGGCTTCGGGATTCGCGTCAAGGGGATCGAAGGTTGAAGGGAGCTTCTACAGGGGGTCTCCCGGAGGTCTAGGGTTTAGGGTTTAGGGTTTAGGGTTTGGGGTTCAGGGTTCAGGGGTCTACTTGGAAGCTCTCTTGACTTAGAGATCCTACTGAGTATCCCCTACAAACCCTATGGTCATCCCCATACCCCACCATGCTAACCCTAAACCCTAAACCCTAAACCCTAAACCCTAAACCCTAAACCCTAAACCCTAAACCCTAAACCCTAAACCCTAAACTTAGGGTTAGGTCTGTATGGGTTCAAGGTTGATTGGGTGGACTTCTTGGGGGGGGGGGGGGGGGGGGTGGTGTTAGGTCTGCTAGGAAACCCCGAACCCTAAACCAAAAAGCCTGAACCCCAAGCAAACCACTGGCCCTAAAAACCCTGCACCTTTGAATCTGAACCTTGGAGGTTCGGGCGGTTTCTTCCTTTGGCTTCTCGGAGAGAACCGAATCGTCTCTGGCTGACCCAGGTGAACCACCCTAAACCCTAAACCCTAAATCCTGAAACATAAAACCTAAACCCTAAACCCTAAACCCTAAACCCTAAACCCTAAACCCTAAACCTCCGGGAGCCCCCGGCTGTCCCGGCGATCCCTGCTGCGGCTGCGCCGGCCTGGTGGAGGTGCCAAAAGCTACTGGGTTTAGGGTTTAGGGTTTAGGGTTTAGGGTTTAGGGTTCAGGGTCTACTGCCTACTACATACTTACTTACATACTTACTTGCTTGCTTGCTGTTTTACTACTTGCTACTTGCTACTTACTAGCTACTACGTACTACATACTACTTACTGCGTACTACTCACTACTTGCTACTTGCTACGTACTACTTACTACTACTTCGTACTTACAACAAGAATCAGAATAGCAAGAACAAGATACCACAACAAACACTACCACCACGACGACGACGACGAGGAGGACGAGGAGGAGGACGAGGAGGAGGACGAGGAGGAGGACGAGGAGGACGACGATTGCTACTCAAAGTGCTTCAAAACACATAAAAAAGACCCGACAACTGTAACACTAAAAGCCCTTTCCCTGAACCCGCACAAGTAGAACTTAGATTTTGTTTTTCGTTCCCATGCAGGCAAAACTTCATTACGACAGCAGACAGCAGAGGGTTTAGAGTTCAAGGTGGTAAAGGTTCAGGATTTACGGCTTATACTTGGAGGTCCATGGGTACTTAGAACCCCCCCCCCCCAAATCCCATGATAAATGTACTTCTAGCCCACTTAGAGACCTGAGGGGGCTTATAAGTATGGTTGTAGTTAGGGTTAGAAGTACCCTGAACCTTTCAGAAGGGTTAGAAACCTGTCCAAGGCCCTTGCAAACCCCCTAAACCCTAAACCCTAAACCCTAAACCCTAAACCCTAAACCCAAAACCCAAAAAAAAACAGAACCCAAAACCCCAAAACCCAAAACCCTAAACCCTGCCCATAAAAACCCTAAACCCTAAACCCTAAACCCTAAACCCTAAACCCTGAACCCTGAACCCTGAACCCTGAACCCTGAACCCTGAACCCTGAACCCTGAACCCTAAACCCTAAACCCTACCCCCTAAACCATAAACCCTAAACCCTGAACCCTAAACCCTAAACCCTAAACCCTAAACCCTTAGAAGCCCCCGCTCCTGGCATGGCGCCCGCCAGCTCCAGCTACAGTTCAGCGCTTGAGGCAAAATGCTGCGAGGAGGCCGAGCTGCGAAGCATGTTCGTTTAGGTTTAGGGTTTAGGGTTTAGGGTTTAGGGTTTAGGGTTTAGGGTTTAGGGTTTAGGGTTTAGGGTTTAGGGTTTAGGGTTTCGGGTTTCGGGTTTCGGGTTTCGGGTTTAGGGTTGAGGTTTTAGGGACGCTAAAGCCCTCAACCCTAAACCCGAACAGAGTAGGCTTGCGGTGAGCCCATAGTTGAGTGAATAGCAGAAAATCAGCATCTAAGCCCCCGAGATCCGCCAAGCTAGAACCTATAGTCAAGGGTTTAGGGTTTGCGGTTTGGGGTTTAGTCGTACCACCACAACTTCCTGAACCCTCCTAATCTCGACCTCTGAACCCAAAATGGCAACTCTAAACGCCCAAAACCCTAAATCCTAGACTTTTAGCCTGCAGCCCTAAATCTCAAGCCTGAGACCTTGAACCCTATATCCCCGACTTTACATGGCCTTCATCCTAATCCCTACATCCTAAAGCCCAAAAGCCTGAAAGTCTAAACTCTAGACTCTAAACCCTAAACCCTAAACCTATCACTGGCATCTGCTCCAGGCTTCAAGCAAGATTCCACAGATGGCCTTTCGGGTGTAGGGTTTAGGGCTTAGGGTATGCCCCACAAAGGGTTGAGAGCGGTCAGCCTGCCCTAGCAAAACCCGCCCCCCTCCCCAGCCCCCGCCCCCTAAACCCTAAACCCTAAACCCTAAACCCTAAACCCTAAACCCTAAACCCTAAACCCTAAACCCTAAGTGTAAATGACAACAGTCACGGGGTTGCAACCGAACGTAAGCCTTGTATGGCCAGTTCTCTAAGATATGGTCCCTCTTTGAGTGCTGTACCCTGCCGCCTTATAATAAGGACCCCAGAAGGACCAGAATTTAAAGAAATCACCGTATCGGTTGTATGAATATTACTCAGGGGAGGGGGGAGGGGTGAGGGGAATGGACGCTCCCAGTAGAATCCAGCTCAACACTAAGATGGCTCTTGTCACACCCGCACCTGCGCCCCAACGTCCAAGCGCAAGCCCCAACCCACTCAAGATTGCTTACTTAACCTCAAACCCCAAACCCTAGATCCTAAACCCCGAACGCTGAACCCTAAACCTTCTCCCTTAGGCACCCTACTTGCAGGGTGTTCAGGGTAGCTGCAGGTGGCGTTAAACATACCCCAAGTCAGGTTCTAGTTCTAACCAATTATGACGCCAGGTTGCAGGACTTGGAACCCCAGTTATCACATCACCATCAACCTCCAAGTAGGGCTGGCGGAGCCCAAAACCCAAAACCCTAAACCCTAAACCAAAAACCCGAACCCTAAACTCAATACCCTAAACCCCGGAAATTGGGCTCAAGCCCCTGAAACCCACTGCGGGCCTTCCACAGACATGCAGTCCAGCTTGCGGCCAAAGCTCTTGAGAAGAGCCCAGGTCGGATCCTTCTCCTGATACGCAACAGAGTTTAGGGTTTAGGGTTTAGGGTTTAGGGTTTAAGGTGTAGGGTTTAGGGTTTAGGGTGTAGGGATATTCCTGCGATTGGCGAGTGTATTGAGGGTTCCTTGCAAATATTGGGGTTCGGGGATTGGTCCCCAAACAACCCATTCTGGACTGGGATCCTAAACTACCACCCCAAGCGCGGATGCAGAGTTTGGAGTTCAGGGTTTAGAGTTTAGGGTGACATCCTGCCAGGAATAAGGCCCGGAGAAAGCCGAAATGCCAAACCCCCCACTCTGAACCCTTAGCCCAAAACCCTAACCCTAAACCCTAAACCCCCTGCCTCACTAAACCCTAAACCCTAAACCCTAAACCCTAAACCCTAAACCCTAAACCCCAAACCCTCGGCCCCAAACACCCTGCCTCCCCAAGGCCCTAAACTTCGCAAGTCGGCGTCCGCTTCATAAGAGCGTTGCGCAGGGGACTGTGCAAGCCATGGTGGTGCGACACCTACAGGTATATGGGTCATACCTTATATGGGGTTGGTGGTCTCTTTAAGCAGGGTTTCTGTCTTGTAGGGCATATATCCGGGGTTCTTGTTAGGGTATCCAGGGGCTAGATTCTGGTATAAGGGCAACAGATGAAGAGGCCACCGGCCTTTATAAGTTATACCTACTAAGTCAGAGTAGTCCCTACGAAGCTGTAAGTAAATAGAGTCCCAGGTACTTTGAGGTTCATGATACTTTTTGACCAATTATATGTACTTCTAACCCACTTAAAAGCCCCTTGAGTGCCCTAACATGGTTATAAGTACAGTTAAGCACAGTTATAAGTACAGTTATAATTGATGAATAACTAGCTTTGGTTTTAAGGGGATTATAAGGGAACCCCAACCCTAAAAAAAGGCAAAAAGGGCCTACTCCCGGTCCTAGATAAGCACCCAGAACCTCCAAGTAAGGTTTACAGGGTTTAGCAGCCCGGACCCGTGTTTCTACACGGTTCCGGGCATTTGCGGCTACGGGCGTGATCGTTCCAAACCCTAAACCCTAAACCCTAAACCCTAAACCCTAAACCCTAAACCCTAAACCCTAAACCCTAAACCCTAAACCCGAACTCCAACCCTAGGCCTTGGGAAGCGCTGCATCCCACACCGTGGGCAGCGGCATCACCATGGCTCTCCGCCGGCTGGCCTGGGGGAGCGGCTGAGCTTAAGGCGAAGGCCTTTATCCTTAAGTTTAGGGTTTAGGGTTTAGGGTTTAGGGTTTAGGGTTTAGGGTTTAGGGTTTAGGGTTTAGGGTTTAGGGTTTAGGGTTTAGGGTTTGGGGTTTAAGGTTTAGGGTTTAGAGTTCAGGGTTTAGGGTTTAGGGTTTGGGGTTTCGGGTTTCGGGTTTGGGGTTTAGGGTTCAGAACCCTCAACCCTCAATGTACGGGCATCCCAGAAGTCCTCTATCCATCGGGGTGACCGAACGGCGATTTCAGGTCCCTAAACCCTAAACCCTAAACCCTAAACCCTAAACCCTAAACCCTAAATCCTAAGCCCTAAACCCTAAACCCCTGCAGAAAAGGCTTTGGCTTTTCAGGGCCTTCAGGCTTGCGAGGCGGCTCTGGGCTCTCAGAGGGCATCTTGTCGGGTGCCTTGTGGGAACTCCACAACAACACTGAAGGGCATTGAAGGTTTAGGGTTTAGGGTTTAGGGTTTAGGGTTTAGGGTTTAGGGTTTAGGGTTTAGGGTTTAGGCCTAGACCCTAACCCTGACTGTGGACACACTCCGCAAGCTCTGCGGGCACCAAGACCAGCTCGGGCCACGAAACAGATCCGCATGGCACAAGTTGCAGCTCACAAGTACCCAAAGGCTCCTAAGTAGTTCCTTTTTGGGTTAGGTATAGGGGATTTTAGTCTACTACCCCCCAAGAGGTACTACATAGGAGCCTTCGGGTAAAGTCTGATCCCAAGCCCGTCACGAAGTGTAGGTTGACTAAGAGGTCTCTCCACCCAGCTGCAGGCCCCACGCCATACATCTGTCTTCTTGAGTCGCTGCTTTACGCGAGTGGCCTGAACACTGTCGTCGGCCAGCAGCATCTCCAGGCTCTTGCAAATTTTGGCGTTGCAGTCGTACTCGACAGCTGCTCGTGCAACATCACATACATGTGCCGGTGATGACGTGAGCGCCGAGAGCGCGTACTTCTCCAGAATCCAGACCTGATACCTTCCCGAAAACACGACCAGCAGTGAAAGCTCAAAACCATGAAGTGTAAGTAGCTTCAGAACCAGCAAAGCGTGCATTTTTCCAAGCTGCTACACCCTAAACCCTAAACCCTAAACCCTAAACCCTAAACCCTAAACCCTAAACCCTAAACCCTAAACCCTAAACCCTAAACCATAAACCCTAAACCCTAGACCCCACATCCGACCATGTCAGGCCAGGAAAAAGTCAGGCAAAACAACGCACAAGAACCGGGTAGCCTTTAGGGTTTAGGGTTTAGGGTTTTTTCTCTTATTTAAGGGTGCCTTGGGTCGGGTGGGGTCCTTTTTTTAAGGTGCCATACTACACATAGGGGACCCAAAAAATGGACCCTAACATAGACAGCTACCCGTGAACATCCGTGAACTCCTGAAGTTCTAGGGTCCTTAAGGGTATTTGGGGAACCTGAGGGAGTACTAGGGACTTGGGTTACATACCGACGTTGAACCCCCTAAAGCCTAAACCCGAACCCTAAATTCTACACCCTAAACCCTAAACCCAAAACCCAAGCTCCTCAACTCCTAAAGCCTTGAGCTGCCAGTGGGCCTGAGGCAGCATGTCATTCAATGCCGCGCTTTCAAAACCTGCGTTTGGGTTCGGGATTCTGGGTTTTGGCCTTAGGGTTTAGGGCTCCGAAACACTGAAAGGGTTTCGGGTTTAAGGGTTTAGGGTTTAGGGATTAAACCCTACGAACTCGAAGAAAAAGGGACCAATTAAACCACAGATCCCCAAACCCAAGCGGTCACAAACCGGAAAACTCATTTCTCAAGCCCAAACCCTCAGATAAACTTCTGAACCCGCAAAATCCTATAGTGGAGCCCTTTTTGACTTAGTAAGTAGGGTTAGCAAGTTCGGTTTAGGGGATATTGAGTAGACTTCCGAAGTCAAAATGGCTTCACAAGTAACCCCTCAACCCTAAAACCCTAAGACCCTAAAGCCCTAAAACCCTAAAACCCTAAAACCCTAACACCCTAAAACCCTAAATCCCTAAACCCCTAAAACCCTAAACCCTCAACCCTCAACCCTAAACCCTCAACCCTACACTCTGCAAACCCTGAACCCAAAGCCGAAACAGCTGACGCCAGGAGGCATTTAAAATTAGCAGTCCAGGGCTTGACCCCCCCAAGGTTTAGGGCTTGGGGGTTTCCAGGGTTTTAGGGTTTCAGGGTTTAAGGTTTAGGTTTTAGGTTTAGGGTTTAGGGTTTAGGTTTTAGGGTTTAGGGTTTAGGTTTTACGGCTTAGGAGGATGTGATGCCATTCTGGAAGTAGGTGCCAGGGACTAGCGTTTGGGTTTAGCGGGGCTAGGGTTTAGGGTTCAGGGTTTAAGTGCGCACTCAGAATTCCCATACTCGCTATGTTCAACAATATGGAATTAGAAGATCGCAAAGCCCATTAACATGTTAAAAGCCCTGGTGTGGTATATTGCGAAATTCGAGTACTAGAAAGCGCAGTATTGGAGAAAATAGAATTAGGGACCAAAGCACTATTTGGTTTGTTCTGAAACTGGGTGCCAACAAACCCTATGTTGTATGGATTTCGGTACCTACTCCCAAAAAAGGTAATTACTCCCGCATGGACTGTCTGGGTATCGCTGTGGCTGAGAAAAACTGTGGTCACACAGGGAGATCCCTGTATCTGTTGGTGCAAAGGTGCCCTTGCGTTTAGGGTTTAGGGTTTAGGGTTTAGGGTTTAGGGTTTAGGGTTTCGGGTTTGGGGTTTAGGGTTTAGGGTTTAGGGTTTAGGGTTTAGTGGGGCAAAAGATCATTCAGCGAATGGCCGGTCAAAGGGGCTGCAACTTGGCTGTGTTCTTGTGTCTGTTGAGATTCGTTGAAATACGATAATCGTGTTTAAGGGCGAGGGGCACTGAGACAGGGAATACAAAATGCGCCCCAAAGACAAGCCCCACTTCTGAGGGCGGGTCGAAGCAAGCCGAAGCAAAGACTTGTACAGAAAATGGAAGGCCATCCATTGCAACAATGACCAGCATACGTCTGAGGCCGGCGCGAGCTGGACTAAATTAAACAATATTAAACATATGAACAGGCCATGGTTAATCCACGGAAGGAGCGGCCGCCCAGGACTTGGAGATGAACACTTGCAGCAGCTTGCAAGGACTCTGCCGCATCGTCTGGCACGATGGGTTCCTCGGCCTCGCTGCCGTGCAGGGGCTGCCATCCAGAATGGCACCTCCAATTCCAGGGAGCGGAACGGCGTACCTGGCGGATCCCGGTGACGCATCAGAGGAGGATGCCTCCTCCTCCAGGATGCGACTCTGGAGGCTCCCCTGGCCCTGGACCTGGGCAAGTTGAAGCCCACACTTGATATGGAAATCATGCGTCCCGCGCTCTTTCTAGCTCCAATATTACATTGTATGGACTTTAACGAACATTACTAAGACCGAAGACCCTAAAACCCTAAAAACCCGAAAAACCCTAAACCCTAAATGTCGTAAGAACCGTGGGCACTTGGAGGTTCATGGTACTTACGCACCAATTATGACTGTGCTTATAACTGTACTTATAACCATCACTTAAGGGGCTGATAAGTGGGTTTAGGGTTTAGGGTTTCGGGTTTAGGGCTTAGGGCTTAGGGCTTAGGGCCAGGCCTGTCTTCGGCGGGCCGAGCTCCGTGAAGGGCATCTGGCACTTGCCCTTGGTGTAAATCACCTGGAGAGGGTTCCTACACTCCCCTTAGAACCTTAGTAAAAACAATATGTTTGATATCCTCTTGGGTTTTATATAAACAAAAATAAAAATAAAAGTAATGTCCAAGGGGAATTTAGGTTCAGGGCTTGGGGTTTGTAGGGTTGGGGGGGGGGGTGTTTGTTTAGGGTTTGAGGTTTACAGGGGTTTAGGGTCTTTGGGGTTGAGGGTTCACAGGTTTTAGGGGTTTGTAGGGTTTATAGGGTTGAGGGTTTACATAGGGTTTAGAGGCTTTAGGGCTTGCAGGGGTAAGGGTTTAGGGTAAGGGTTTAAGTTTAAGGTCGAGGGTTTATAGGGTTTAAGGTTTATGGGGTCTAGGGTGCAGTGTTAAGGGTTTAGAGTGCGAGAGGAGGGAGATCAAAAAAGCGAGAGCGACAGGAGGGAGGAGGCAAACCGAGTACTAAACACTCTTAATGGACTCTGACGCCCCAAAACTCTAAATCCTAAACACCCTACACCCTAACACCCTAAAGCCTAAAACCCTAAACCCCTACGCCCTTAAAAACCCCGGAGCCCAAAGCCCTAAACCCTAAAAGCCCCACACTCGAAAAACCCAAAACAAAACCTGTATAAGCCCGACCTGAAGGCTCTGATGTAGTTCCTTTCTCAGATTCTCGGTGAGGTATAGGGGTTTGGTATACTACCCCATACAAGGTACAGTACTACATAAGAGCCTCCCTGAACCATAAGCACCCTACACCCCAAACACCCTTAAAGCTTAAAAACTCCAAAAACACTAACAGCCCCAAAGACCCAAAAGTCTAAACCCCTGAACCCTAAAAAAACCACACCCTAAAAACCCTAAACCCTAAAACGCCCCATAGTTGTGCTGGGCCACGCCCTAAGCCCTAAGCCCTAAACCCTAAACCCTCTTGAACGGGGCGTCGGGAAGGGATGGCAAACCGGCTCGGGGCCGCACGTTCTCGTGCACGTGTTGGCTGTCCTCTTGGAAAAATAATAGGTTTAGGGTTTAGAGTTTAGAGTTTAGGGTTTAGGGTTTCAGGTCCCTTGAAAACCCGAAACCCAGTGATTTGGGCTTGTGTATGGGTTTACCTGAAGACTCTCAAGTACTTCCTTTTTCGGTTAGGTCCGGGGGGTTCTGGTATACCACGCTCAAAAACGCTACATGGGCGCCTCTGGGTAGGGCCTTTCGGGTATAGGAATTGACCGTGTGCATATCGGGTTTAGGGCGTAAGAAAGGGCAACAAGGGTACGTCGAGGGGGTACCCCCAGGCTGTGACGCAACAAGGAGCTGTCGGCCAACTGAGCGAAACCATCAGTTCGGATAGCCATCACTGTCTGGATCATCTCCGTCCCAGAATTCGCATGGAAACATCGAATATGCTCTGGAGTACTCTGCTGCCGTGTGCCTGCCTTCTTGCCTAGGAAGCTCCCACGCTCGGCCATCATGCTGAGCGAAACCCTAGACCCTAAACCCTAAACCCTAGACCCTAAACCCTAAACAAAGCTGTAAGACTAAAGCCAGATCTCTCAAACCCCTCGATCCCTAAACCCTTACACTGGCTTGAGATGGTTTAGGGCTTATGATTTAGGGTTTAGGGCTAAAGGTTTGTAATTCAGGGTTTAGGGTTTAGGGTTTACATTTTCGGGCTTAGGGTTTAGGATGTACTTTAGGGTTTTAACTCATTCCTCTACATCCCCTGTATGGGGTTTGTGCCATGTAGGGAGTTAATTGTCGGGCTCCTTCGGATTTGAAGGTTATAAAGTTCCTTATGGAGTTTAGAGGGTCTATGGGGTTTCTGAGTTTATCGCGTGTTTACAGGTTTACAGGCACGCACCATGGGCCCAGATATGCGGAGTTTGATTTGTCCCGTCCTCCACGATGCCGATGCCGTGCATGAAGTCCTAAGTAAGCATTTCAAGCCTTGTTTTAGGGTGTAGCAGACGGGCCTCTGTGCTTAGAATGTTCATCTCGGTGGATCTTCTTCAGATTGCATTTGGGCTGTTGAAGGCTGCGGGTTGTGGTTTCCATCGTCCAGCACGCCTAAAGCTTAGCTGCCCCAATGAACCCCCCGCCCCCAACCTGTATTCAGGCTCTTGTACTAGTAGGGGTTGGGGTCTAGGGCTCGCTGCGCTCGTGTCTGTCGGGCCTGAGAGGCTGTTGGGATGTGTTTGGGGTTTGGGGTTCAGGACTTAGGGCCTTAGGGTCGAGGGTTTAGGACTTAGGGTCTTACGGTGTAGGGTTTGGGGTTTAAGGACATGCTGACCTAAGCCCCGGGTCCACTTCTCTACCGGAGTTTCTCCACGTGGGAATTCCATGCTCTGGCAAGGCAGAAGGCAGGTCTGCACATTTTATCTGCTCCGTCGGCGGCACTTGTACTCTACACAAGCCTTTTGAGACTAAAAGGGCCTCCCTGAATGCTCTCAAGTAGTTCCTTCTAGATCTTGGGTTAGTTCTAGGGGGCTCTGGTATACTACCCCCAACAAGGTACTACACAGGAGCCTTTGCCGACGCAAGAGCCAGAGATGAGCCTGCAGTGTGCGGTTGCCCTGCGCCTGGTAGGTGTCGGCCCTTTTCAAGCTTGAGGAGACTCCTAAAGAATCCTCTGAAAATACAAGGTTGTCAAGAAACAACTCAACCCCTCCCAAAAAGGGCCTCCCTTCCAGACTATATCTCAAAGGTGTCACACTCCTCTGCAATGGCAGAGAGTGGCAGTTGGCCCGACGCTGCGTCTTTCAGGAGTTGGGGCGTAGACCCGGCGCGAACTAGATCCGCGGCCATAATCCCTCGGGAATTCGGCGTGTCTAGGCTCGCACCGAAAGAAATAAGAGCAGCAGCAGCCTCAAAGTTTCCGACGAGCATGGCGACCATCAGGGGCGTTGCCCTGTGATGGTGATAGCCGAAGGTGCGCAGCCTCGTCGGGTTTCTCAATCTGAACTCCAAGCCCTTCAGGTTACAGAACAGACCCAGCATCGTGAACGGCTGGAGGCTCAGCTGCTCGTTCACATCTGCCCGTGCTTGAATCAACTTGGCAACCATGGCATGTGTACCTCCTTGAAGCAGCGTGGCCGCATGTAGCGAACCCGTCAGGTCTAGGCGACCTTCCCCCAGTGTCAGGAGCATATCCACAGCATCCCGGCCACCCGTCGCGCACGCATGTTGCAGGGCCGACATACCCAGGCGATTCTTGCCGTGCGGACTTGCGCGAGCATGACAGAGCAGCTGTATGCCAACTGCATTATTTCCGAAAGAAGCCAGACACAAAGGAACACTGGATCTTCTGGGATGGATGTCGGCCCGGGCCACCAAAAGCAGCCTGACAGCATCATTGTTCTGGAACAGAGCAGCAATGGCGAGTGCGCTCACCTTCCTAGCTATGGCCAGCAGTGGCTGGCCTCTCTTGGTTTCATCGCTGGGGTTAGCGCGCCTTTCCAACAAGGCCTTCACCAATGCTGGATCCCCGTTAAGGGCTGCGTAGCACATCGGCGACCACCCCATGGCGTCGTACTCAGAGACCTGGGCAAAGCCGTTCTGGAACAAGAACTGCGCAACGCGAAGTGAGCCCTCATCAGACTCATGCTGGGAGGGATCGAAGCCTGGGACCATATCTGCGATGGGATCGATGGGAAGGCCTCTGCAAAGTATTGCCTGCACGTTGAGCACGACACGATAGCTGGGCAAATCTCCTTCCCGGAGGCACTGGACCAGCTTCTGCTTGAGCATCTGCTTCACCACCGGCGCGATTCTCGAACGATCCTTCTCCACCGTAAAGCAGCCTTTGCCAGGAGAGCCTTCGCAGGAAGACGCGAAGGATGTTACGACAAGCTCCACATGTGTGGCGCTCTTGACCATGAGGAAGGAGCCGTCTCCAGAACACTCTTTCGCCAGCCTTTCGAGCCTGCACCAGCCACCTTGCTTGCTCAAAACAAATCACGGGCGGCTGGCCCTCCAAGGCAGAAAGCTGGCATAAAAATCTACTAAGCCCTAAACCCTACACCCTAAACCCTCAACCCTATACCCTAAACCGATTCTACACAAGCCGCGACCAGACCAACTCGATGGACTGAGGATCTCCTTCTGGTCACAGCTCTCAATGACCGGGCAGAGCGCAAGCATGACCTGACCTGGGATGGACTTGGACATGTGCGTTGGTTTAGGGTTTAGGGTTTAGGGTTTAGGGTTTCGGGTTTAGGGTTTAGAGTTTAGGCCTGTTTTGTCTAAAAAGCGAAAGCGACGGGGCCAGGTAGGGCTATATGAATAGGGCTATCAAGAGCTACTATGAAGGATGTTTATAGGGGGGGTTCGGACCTGCAGTGACCTGCAAGCGAACTCCATATCAACCTCGGGCGACACTGGGCGACGTACGCGGGTATGCTGCGGATGGCTCGTGCAAGCCCGCCGTTGACGTCGTAGCTCTTGCTTGAGTCACCCTGGTGCTCCTTCTGGGGGCAGGAGAAACCCAAAGTTCCCTAATACTCCCCACTACTCCCTAAGGCTCCCGAAGGTTCCCCCCCCCTCCCTTAAGAACCCTAAACCCTACACCCTACACCCTAAACCCTAAACCCTAATCCCTAATCCTTCTGGGGGCAGGAGAAATAGTCGTACCAAAGGTAGAAATCCCACGGCTCCAATGTGTGGTCCATGGACTGGGCAGCCAGATTTGCTGGTGACTTGCCGAAGATGATCTCTGTCACCACATCTAGACCTCGGCCACTTGAACCCTCTTTTTTCGGTTTAGGGTTTAGGGCTTAGGGTTTGCTGTAATAGGGCGTAGATGCTGTGAAGGTTAGGATGCAGCAGCGGCTCGAATGCTTCGGCAGCTGCGAAGAGCAGCTCTGGCCCGATTGTGGAGGGCCATCTAATATTTTTCTCCCACCCCACGCCGTCCGAGGCGCTAAAACCACCCAAACCTATTCCTTTTAGGGTTTAGGCTAAACTCATGACAATCGCTTACTTTCAAAAAAACCTTTCCGTCACCGATGGCCACTTTCAGCCAAGCGAAAGGTTTGAGGCCAGGTCCTAGGACAGAAAAGGAGAGGTTTAGAGGGTTTGACGGAGGGCCAGGCACAGGGGGCAGGAGGGGAGGGCAGGAGGAGGGCGGGCCAGGAAACCACGCTGCGGTGAGGGGTCCGGGTCCTCCTGGCCTGGGGGCACCTCCAGGCAAAGACCTTGTGGTTTAGGGTCCGCGGAAAAACCTGTTTTGGTACCGGGCCCATCGTGGGTGCCACCGACCTCCGGGCTGCAGGAGGCGGGCAAGCGAGGTCGACTTTCGCGACTTTCGCCACAGGGCTTAACCGCCGCCCTGCCTCTGTAGGGGGGCGGCCTAGGCCCTGACTTTAGGGTGAGCAAGATCCTCTTGAAACAGTGAACGGGAGAGCATACAAGAGATCCCAGCGTTCTACCCAACAGAAACACCCTGAAAAGCAAAAGAAATCCTAAGCCCCAAAAAAGAGAGAAAGACAAGAGATCCCAGGAATGCTCCCCTAAACCCTAAAAAAACAAACCCTATAAACCCTATGAACCCTATAAACCCTATAAACCCTATAAACCCTGTAAACCCTATAAACCCTAAAAACCCTAAAAACCCTAAAAACCCTAAACCCTAAACCCTAAACCCTAAAACCTAACCCTAAACCCTAACCCCCAAAAGGGAGGACTTCGGGCCCAGGCGCTCACTTGCGTGACCCCCGACAAGATGTTTCGTAGGGCATCCTGGAGAACCCCGAACTGCTTGTGCTGCGGATCCTGAAGGTTTAGGGTTTAGGGTTTAGGGGTTTGGGGTTTAGGGTTTAGGGTTTAGGGTTTAGGGTTTAGGGTTTGGGGTTTAGGGTTTAGGGTTTGGGGTTTGGGGGTTTAGGGTTTGGGCCATAGGGTTTAGGGTTTAGGGTTTAGGGTTTGGGGTTTATAGGGTTTAGGGTTTAGGGTTTAGGGCTTGGGGTCTTGGGTTTAGGGTTTGGGGTTTAGGGTTTGGGGCTTAGGGTTTAGGGTTGAGGATTTGGGGTTTAGGGTTTAGGGTTTTAGGGTTTAGGGTTTGGGGTTTAGGGTTTGGGGTTCAGGGTTTGGGGCTCAGGGTTTAGGGTTTAGGGTTTGGGGTTTAGGGGTTTAGGAGTTTTGGGGTTTAGGGTTTAGGGTTTGGGGTCTATAGGGTTTAGGGTTTAGGGTGTAGGGTTTAGGGTTATTAGGGTTTATAAAGGTTAGGGTTTATGAGGGTTTACAAGGGTTTATAAGGGTTTAGGGTTTAGGGCCGAAGACTATATGTCATTTTTTTGGGAGGGTTCTGATGCAAACAGCAGAAAGCCCACTTTCATTGCCCTTATAACGAAAATACGTTTTTGGGGGATCCTTGCAAGGAAGAGAATTTTGAATTTGGGGGGGTTCTTCTGCTAATAGCAGCTTAAGGTTTAGGGCCTAGGGTTTAGGGTTTAGGGGCTAGGGTTTAGGAATAGCAGCTTAAGGCTCTGGGTGATGCTGGCCCACCCACTGGTGCGAAACGAAGGCCGTGCGCCCCGTTCTCTCGTCGACCACCGTGAGGGCGCCTTCTTGCAACAGCTCCTCGTGCGGCTTGATCTTCTCCTAGGTTTGCTGCAGGGTTTCTAGGGTTTAGGGTTTAGGGTTTAGAGGTTTAGGGATGGGCGTTAGAGACTTGAGGGTTAAGGGTTTAGGGGCCGCCTCGGAAGCCGAATATGGAGGAACAATTGAAGAAATCCCAAGGCCTTAAACCTTAAGCCCTAAAGCCTAACCCTGAACCCTCAACCTAGCCAAGGCTCCATCTGCAACACCGCACCCAACGGAACGGTGTACATCGGAAAATAGATCCGGCCAGCCTGTCGACAAATCGGAAGGACTGGAACGCTTTAGGATCACATGGGTTAGGTTCTGAGCCCCACACCCTCTGAGCCCCAAGCCCCCCTAAGCCCCTAAGCCCCTAAGCCCCTAAGCCCCTAAGCCCCTAAGCCCCTAAGCCCCTAAGCCCCTAAGCCCCTAAGCCCCTAAGCCCCTAAGCCCTAAGCCCTAAGCCCTAAACCCTAAACCCTAAACCCTGAACCTTGGAGGCTTTTTCTAACGGCTAGATCTCGCTCCCTCTGCCTCCGAGGCGGGTGTCGCCTCTAGTGTCCGTGCATACCGCGACAGCGCCGTGTCAGGTGGAACAGGTGCAAAGCTTGGCAAGCATGGCAAGCACGACATGGAGGACAACTCGGTTCAGGGTTCAGGGTTCAGGGTTCAGGGTTTAGGGTTTAGGGTTTAGGGTTTAGGGTTTAGGGTTTAGGGCAGTTGCATGGTCCCTGAATGTGGGCCCTCAATTGGGGAACCCTTATATCCCCCTTACATGTCGTATTAACCCCGAGGGCCCATACTTCAGAACCCTTTAAGGAGGTGCGGGACCAGAGTAATTAAGGGACCATGAACTTCCGTTAGACCCCACACACTCTCTGCACCCTGTAAACCCTAAACCCCGACAAGCCCTATAGGTGGGTCCGTGGTCGCTGAGAACTCCGGCTTAAGGTTTAGGGTTTAGGGTTTAGGGTTTCGGGTTTAGGGACCCTTTGGGCAGCAAACAGGGGCAAACGGACGGCTCCATGCGATGCCCCGGAAAGTAGGCGCATGAACTGAAACAAAAAACCTAGTAGCTATTAGCTATACACTTCCTCGACCCTAAACCTTAAACCCCAAAACCCAAAACCCAAAACCCAAAACCCTAAACCCTAAACCCTAAACCCTAAACCTTTTCAACTTTAGCACGCCTTCACTGCACACCAAAGTTTGGCCAAAAGGGCCCCAAGACAAGGCTGGCACGCCAAGGCTTCGAAGGTGTGTGGTACCGGGACTTAAATGGAAACCCCAAAACAGGAAAGGGTTTAGGGTGTAGGGTTGGGGGTTTAAGGGAGCCCCAAACAGGGAACCCCAAGAATAGAGTAGGAAGATAGAGGGAACATAAGGACTCTGGTATTCCGAGATGATCTTCTTACCCCCTTGTTGGGGTTTCCGGGGTGAAGATGAGGTTTAAGGCTTGATTCGTCGGCTTTAGGGCTTTGGGGGGTTTAGGACTTCAGGTTCAAGGTTCTTGTTTAAGGTTCAGGTTGCGTCCTAACCCTAAACCCTAAACCCTTCCTCAACCCTAAACCCTCAACCCTCAACCCTCAACCCTCAACCCTAAACCCTAAACCCTAAACCCTAACCCTAAATCAGTTACTAGATCATGTATGGTTTAGCGGCTTGCCCTAAAACCCTGAGTCGTTTGGTGTTCTGCGGGACCAGGACAGGGATCATGCCCCCTCCTTGCAGCCTACATCTTGGGATGTCTCTCCCTTTTTCTAACGGTCCTGAGTAGGTTCGGCTAGGGTTTAGGGTTTAGGGTTTAGGATTGAGGGTTTAGGGTTCAGGGTTCAGGGTTTAGGTTTTAGGGCTTAGGGTTTAGGGTTTAGGGTTATAGGGATGAGAGTACCCCCTGTTGTAATCCCCATTACGGACTCTAAGTATTCGGGGGAACATTTCAAGCTACTTTCTTGAAGGATGGGGATTGCTGGCTTTCCGGGCTGTAGGGTCTACAGAGGGGTGGGGGATGAAGGGTTGGGGTCAGGGGCTTCTCCCCAAACGCGACTTTTCCACGTCTTCACGCGAGTCGGAGATGAAAAGGCCCACGCAAGAGCCAGAGATGAGCCTGCAGTGCGGAAAAACAATCGGCCTCTCGGATGCTCTTGCTGCAGGCGTAGCCCTGCGTCTGGTAGGTGCTGGCCCTTTTCAAGCTTGAAGAGATTCCCAAGCAACCCTCTGAAAACACGAGATTTTCGAACAACTCAACTCCCAAAAAGGGCCTCCCTTCCAGACTATATCTCAAAGGTGTCAAAGTCCTCTGCAATGGCAGAGAGTGGAAGATGGCCCGACGCTGCGTCTTTCAGGAGTTGGGGCGTAGACCCGGCGCGAACTAGATCCGCGGCCATAATCCCTCTGGAATTCGGCGTGTCTAGGCTCGCACCGAAAGAAATAAGAGCAGCAGCAGCCTCAAAGTTTCCGACGAGCATGGCGACCATCAGGGGCGTTGCCCTGTGATGGTGATAGCCGAAGGTGCGCAGCCTCGTTGGGTTCTTCAATCTGAACTCCAAGCCCTTCAGGTTACAGAACAGACCCAGCATCGTGAACGGCTGGAGGCTCAGCTGCTCGTTCACATCTGCCCGTGCTTGAATCAACTTGGCAACCATGGCATGTGTACCTCCTTGAAGCAGCGTGGCCGCATGTAGCGAACCCGTCAGGTCTAGGCGACCTTCCCCCAGTGTCAGGAGCATATCCTTAGCTGTCCAGTAAACCTGCGGGAATTAAAGGTTAACCTTTGGGATGATGAAGGGATTCTACTACCCCAAAAAGGTTAAAGGTTAACCTTTGGGATGATGAAGGGATTATACTACCCCAAAAAAGGTTAAAGGTTACCTGCCCTTCTACTATACTACCCCAAAGAGGTTATAGGTTACCTACGTCTGCTACTAGGCATCCACGGCATCGCGGCCTCCCGTCGCGCAGGCATGCTGCAAGGCCGACATACCCAGGCGATTCTTGCCGTGCGGACTTGCGCGAGCTTGACAGAGCAGCTGTATGCCAACCTTGGGGTCTTGTGCCCTATACTGCTATAAGGCCTATAGTAAGGGGTATGAGCCCTAAAGGGTCACAATCTACCCTATACTGCTAGAATTCCTAGTAGGGGATATGAGCCATAAACCCTTTTTTAGGGTTCATCTCGTCCCCAAGGAACGGCATTGTTTCCGAAAGAAGCCAGACACAAAGGAACACTGGATCTTCTGGGATGGAGATCAGAGTTGGCCGCCAAAAGCAGCTTCACAGCATCGTTATTCCGGAACATAGCTGCAAGGGCGAGTGCACTTATCTGCTTCGAAACAGCCAGCAGGGGCTGGCCCTTCTTGGTCTCATCGCTGGGGTTCGCGCGCCTTTCCAACAAGGCCTTCACCAGTGCTGGATCCCCGTTAAGGGCTGCGTAGCACATCGGCGACCAGCCCATGGCGTCGTACTCAGAGACCTGGGCAAAGCCGTTCTGGAACAAGAACTGCGCAACGCGAAGTGAGCCCTCATCAGACTCATGCTGGGAGGAATCGAAGCCCGGGACCAAATCTGCGATGGGATCGATGGGAAGGCCTCTGCAAAGGACTGCCTGCGCGTTGAGCACGACACGATAGCTTGGCAAGTCTCCTTCCCTCAGGCACTGGACCAACTTCCGCTTGAGCATCTGCTTCACCACCGGCGCGATTCTCGAACGATCCTTCTCCACGGTAAAGCAGCCTTCGCCAGGAGAGCCTTCGCAGGAAGACGCGAAGGAGCTGACGACAAGCTCCACATGTGTGGCGCTCTTCACCACGAGGAAGGAGCCGTCTCCAGAACACTCTTTCGCCAGCCTTTCGAGCCTGCACCAGCCACCTTGCTTGCTCAAAACAAATTATAACCCCCCCTCAGCCCCTTGGTTCAACAGTTCCGCAGGCTCTCGGTCCCCAGGTATCGAACACCGGCGGAACTAAAAAAAACAGGAGATCATAATTCGTGTGTTGCTCTTATGAGGAAGAATCTTCTTATCGTTTGGGGGGGGGGTGTTCTTCAGAAAGTAGTAGTGGAGGTTTTGGGACACCCTGAGCCCTAAACCCTAGGGTTTAGGGTTTAGGGTTTAGGGTTTAGAGTTTAGGGTTTAGGGTTTAGGGTTTAGGGTCTATGATTCAGACAAGCCACGGTCAGACCAACTAGAGGGACTGAAGATCTCCGTCTTGTTGCAGCTCTCAATGACCGGGCAGAGGGCCAGCATGACCTGACCTGGGATGGACATGGACATGTGCTTTTATTTGTGTGTTGGTTTAGGGTTTAGGGTTTAGGGTTTAGGGTCTAGGGTCTAGGGTTTAGGGTTTAGGGTTTAGGGTTTAGGGTTTAGGGTTTAGGGTTTAGGGTTTAGGGTTTAGGGTTTAGGGTGCCTTGACCTGGCATGGATTTGGATTTCGGATGGGCGGGGTCCCAACTGTGTAAGACACTCCAATCCCTAAAGATCCATGTTCCTATATGGCATAGAGTATGTACTTCGTATAGCGTATATGCTTGGGCCTTAGCGGGGTTACTATATGATTAGATAGTAGCTTCAGGGCCCAAGTATGTACTATATGGGCAAATGGATCCTCAGGGCAAGACCACGAGCACCACAGACCACCCCAAGAGCACTCGAAAGCGGACAAAAGCAACGACGCTTCTATACTTGACGAGCAGAATGCGCACGGGACCCCTACACCCGAAACCCCAAACCAAGGCAAGTGCACCATTGGCAACACCACGAAAATGAAAATTTTCCATGGACTGGATGCACGAAGCAAACCCATCCAACCGCCCAAATTACAGAAAAGTTTGTGGGTGCCACATTTTCGCGACACGGATGACGTAAGCCTCAGAAACTGCATGGTTGCGACGAAAATCACGTTTCGAGAGCCACAAAGAGCTCAGTTTGTAAGCCCGCGGCTAGGCAGGAGCACGATCTTGGTCCAAAATATCTGGTTTCCTAGTAGGAATTCAAAGGGTGCAGGGCTTCAGGTTTAGCCATGCTTGCACGTTCATAGGTATTTATGACTGGGTGATGAGTAGGGTAACCAGGCCTATACAGAAACTATTGTCTATAGGGCATTGATGGCCTTTATCTCCAAACAGTCTTGCCGTTGGATGCCCATAATGCCGAAAAAAACACTGTTTGGGACGCTCAATTCTCTAGGCCACATGGATTCTACAGGGTATGGTATCGGACCCACAAAACATAAAATGGGTGGTTGGCAAAATTCTGGTCCCTTTTTGGGGCCTAAACCTTAAACCCTAAACCCTAAACTCTAAGGACCGACCCAAAAAGGACCCTAATTTTGACAACCACCCAAATAGAACATTCCAAGTCAACCTCAGGCGACACTTGGCGACGTACGCGGGAATGCTGCGGATGGCTCGTGCAAGCCCACCGTTGACGTCGTAGCTCTTGCTAGGGTCATCCTGGTGCTCCTTCAGGGGGGTTTATATAGGGTTTAGGGTTTAGGGTTCAGGGTTTCGGGTGTAGAGGTCACCCTGGTGCTCCTTCTGGGGGCAGGAGAAGTAGTCGTACCAGATGTAGAAATCCTTGGTAGCCCAGGGTCACCATCTTCCAATTTGGCTACCCAATTTGGGGGATTACGAAGATAAGGGCACCCCAGTGAGATTCCCAAATAAATAGTAGGATCCCCTTATCATATGGACAACCCTAGCCCAGACCCTACACCCTAATTTCGGAAACCCCCCCCCAATGTCCGGGGGGGGAGTCTGGTTACTTCATAACGGGGGAGCCAAAACTACTATGTGCATAAGAACCCGCAAAAAAAATTAAAAATGGTTCTTCCTTCTACGGCCTTTATAGGGATTCTTGTTTCCCATTTTTGCGGGAGATGTGACTTGAGTTGTGAACTTCAGACAGTCTTTCCGGGCCTTGTACTTCATTTTGGCACATTGTTATTATCCTTGCATTGCATCGTCGTTCGAAGACAAGTCTCTCTTGGGGGGGGGGGTTCTTAAGCAAAATCGCAGAAAACTTGGCTGCACTCAGGAGGGTAGCTAGAAATTAACACTTTTAGCTGCCTTAATATAAGAACCCAAAAAACCAAAAAAAGGGTAAGGATCTAAAGTTACAGTAAACCCTAAACCCTAAACCCTAAACCCTAAACCCTAAACCCTAAACCCTAAACCCTAAACCCTAAACCCTTAACCCTTAACCCTAAACCCTAACAAAAAGGGAACCATTCTGGGCTACCAAGTCTCCAAGGGCTCGAGCGTGTGGTCCAAAGACTGGGCTGCCAACTTGGCGGGCGACTTGCCGAAGATGATCTCTGTCACCAAGTCCAAACCTCGGCGGGTCCGGGCCGTTGCGGTTTAGGGTTTAGGGTTTAGGGTTTAGGGTTTAGGGTTTAGGGTTTAAGGTTTAGGGTTTAGGGTTTAGGGTTTAGGGTTTAGGGTTTAGGGTTTAGGGTTTAGGGTTTAGGGTTTCCCTGATACTGGCAGTCCGTAATAGGTTTTTGGTTTAGGGGTCTGGGGTTAGGGATTATCGTACCCCCTCCATTGTAATCCCTACTAAGGGCTGTCAGTATAAGGGGGAACATCCCATTCCTTGAAATGCAAAATCGGAGAAACTGCTCTAGATTCTAGATCCAAAGGGTTCTGCCCCCCCCCCCCCCAAAAGAAACAAAACCCGAACCCTAAACCCCCAAGAAGGGAGAAAAGGCCTAAACCCCAGACCCCAAACTCCTAAACCCTATAAACCCTATAAACCCTATAAACCCTATAAACCCTATAAACCCTATAAACCCTATAAACCCTATAAACCCTATAAACCCTAAACCCTATAAACCCTAAACCCTAAACCCTACAACGGAGGACTTCTGCCCAAGACGCTCACTTGCGTGACCCCCGACAAGAGGTTTCGTAGGGCATCCTGGAGCACTCCGAACTGCTTGCGCTCTGGATCCTGGGTTTCGGGTTTCTAGGGTTTAGGGTTTAGGGTTTAGGGTTTAGGGTTTAGGGTTTTAGGGTTTTAGGGTTTTAGGGTTTAGGGTTTAGGGTTTAGGGTTTAGGGTTTAGGGTTTAGGGCTTCTGGCAGCATCTTCCGACCGCTTCTCCGAAAAAAGCCAAGGCTTTAGCTTCAAAGACTCTAAGACTCTAAGATCCGCTCTTAAGGCCCATTTTGGCAGCGTTTAGCACAACAAAAAATATAACCCCCACAGCGCCTACTTGCTACTATTTGCTTCAGAACCCCGTGCTAAAAAAACATGTTGTTCAAAATGTCCCTACATTGCCCTCATACGGAAGATCATTGTTCATTGTTTGGGGCTTCTACGGGGTTCTTGTAAGGAAGGGTATCTCTTTTTTTGGGGGGGAGTTCTTACGCAAAGAGCAGCTTAGGTTCTGGGTGATGCGCGCCCACCCACTGGTGTGAAACGAAGGCCGTGCGCCCCGTTCGCTCGTCGACCACCGTGAGGGCACCTTCTTCAAGGAGCTCCTCATGCGGCTTGATCTTCTCCTAGGTTGTGGCTTAGGGTTTATAGGGTATAGGGTTTAGGGTTTAGGGTTTCGGGTTTACGGTTCACAAGGGAACCCAGAACAAAAACAAGGGTACAGGGTACCACTGGGCTACCAAAGAAGGGGACAAGTCGGGAAAGCATCAACACACGGCCTTAAGGCGAAAATAAAGTACAATATTTTCGAGGTATATGTAGAATAGGAACCCAGAACAAAAAAGTATCAAAGTATAGTACTCCAAAGCCCAGTTTCCATCTCCAGAACTGCGGCCAAGGGAACGGCGTACATCGGAAAATCGATTTGGCCAGCCTGACAACTTTGGCGGACAGGGGTGCTTTCGGGGATTCCAGGACCCCCCCCCCCCTCCCAGGGTGTAGGGCATAATTAGAGGTGCTGAACCCTTGGCTCCAAAGAGGTTGGTCTCTTCCTGTTCCTCCAGTGTCGGCCCCTGCCTCGGCGGCGGGTGTCGCCTCGAGTGTCTGCGCATACCGCGACAGCGCCGTGGGAGATGGAAGAGGTGCTCTGAACGGCAAGCAGGACGAGGACGGCATGGAGGAGCAGTCAAAGGACTTTCTATTGAAGCCTTTGAATTTTTGAACAAAAGAAGTAGCAACTCTGCCGGGGCGCAGGCAGCACCCGACCTTGAGCAAAAGCCTACAAGGGCAGTGTTTCAGCTGCCGCACGACTCTTTCCACAAGATTGCCTGACGACGCCTCTCCTAAGTTTAGAGGGTATAGGGAAGGTATGTGCAGCATGCCAGGGTGTGGGTGTGAGAGATTAAGAGAGAGGGAGAGTGAGAAAGACAGGGACAGAGAGATAGAGAGAGACAGATGCATATATGTATACATATATATATAATATGTATATATGTATGTGTGTGTGTGCGTGTATACATTCATACACGAACCAAGAAATGTTAACATTTCCACATAAGTATGTTTTCATATTCTATAGGAACTAGTGGAAGGCACCTCCCCCGCCCCGCAATCTGAACACTAAACTCTCAACGGCCCAAACAGGGAACTGACTAAACTCTAGGGGTTTCGGGTTTGGGGGCTTAGAGGTTGAGGGTCTTAGGTTGGTGTCTACCCAAAGGCTCCGAAGTAGCTCCTTCTTGGGCTAGGTACAGGGGAGTTTAGTATACTACCCTAACCCTAAACCCAAAAAGGGTACTATATA